GGTGCGCTGATTGTGAGGTGCTCAGGATTGGACAGCAGTTCATGGGGCTCTGTGGCATGACTCCATGGGGTGGAACTAGCAACTAAAAACCCTCATGCATATATAAAAACATCACTGCAAACACTTCTCCCACATACCGGATCACACTTTCTCTTTTTTGGACATTTCTCTGTCTGGCACCAACTACCATGCCATGTTCAAAGTCACTTAAATCACCTTTCTTCCCCATTCTGATGCTCGGTTTGAACTGCAGCAGACTGTCTTGACCATGTCTACAGGCCTAAATGTATTGAGTTGCTGCCATGTGATTGGCTGTTTAGGAATTTGCATTAAAGTAGAGTTGGATAGGTGTACCTAATAGAGTGACAGGTGAGAATTATCCTGGCAATGAGCTGAAAAGCTTTTTTGACAACTTTCAGAGGCCAAAGTGAGTCTTGCATGGAAAAACCAACAACCGGGAAAAAAATAACCAAATACAATTTAACTATGTATGTCTGGGGAACAGTTTATAAAGCCCTATAATCAAACCAACACTGTTCATTAAAAATTGTTAGACCTATTGGAGGAGGAGTGGAGCGCCAGGAGAGAGTTGAATGAGAATGGAAGTGAATGTTGTCGTGTCTGTCTACGTTTGGTTTGTTGGATACTCTTGTTTGTCCGTCTTATTTTGTCTTTCCTTTTGTATTGATTCATGCATGTATGATTTTTTTGTTGGTTGACGAGGACATTTCTTTTGGTTGTAGATGGGGAATCTTTTTTGTTTTGAATTTCCATGTGCCATGAGTTGTCAGACCTTGAAATAATGAAAATAAAGACAGTAATGTAATGAAGGAAAAAACATTAACAAAGTGTCTGTTTGTATACGTTGGTACTTCCTAAATCCTGCTTTTGTTAAAAATGGGTGTAAAGATCACCCATTGATGATGTCACTGTGTCACTAAAGAGAAGACATGTCATTTGACTTTCTTTAATCACAAAACTCTTTTGTGTTAATGAGACACGGCCATCAAAGTATTAATGACAGAAGGATTTACTTACTTATAACGGTTTTTTGAACAAGAAACTTTTCTTTTTCAGCCACCGTGCTGTCGTGCTGCATGGTGTCACATAATGCAGTTTCACATAAAATGATCTTTACTTGGTATCTCTCAACCTCCCCCACAAGCTCGGGCTCTTTCCCCCCTCCCCTCCACACACAGCTTGGGCTCTGGAACCCAACTCTTTGAGAGGGGTTGGATACTCCACCTTTCTGGTGTTTCTCAGTTTCTCACAGGGAGAGGCGGCGAGCGGGGGTGGTCATACTCATTGGCCCCCATCTCAGCCGCCACGACTTAGAGTCCTCCCCGGTGAATGAGGGGTCGCGTCCCTGATAAGTCTCTCACTGTTGTGATGGCCTACGTCGTCCCTGGGAGACGTACTGGACGGCGCGTCGACCAGGGACTCTGTTATTCTCCTGGGGGACTTCAACGCCCATGTAGGAAATGACAGTGACACTTGGAGAGGGGTGATCAGGAAGAACGGCCCCCCTGATATGAACCTGAGTAGTGTTCAGTTGTTGGACTTCTGTGCTAGTCACAGTTTGTCCATCATGAACACCATGTTCGAGCACAAGGGTGTCCACCAGTGCACGTGGCACCAGGACACACTAGGCCGGGGGTCGATAATCGACTTTGTTGTTGTATCATCTGACCTTCGGATGATGTGAGGGGCGGAGCTGTCAACCGATCACCACCTGGTCATGAGTTGGATCTGCTGGCAGAGGAGGAAGCCAGTCAGACCTGGCAGACCCAAGCGTGTAGTGAGGGTCTGCTGGAAACATCTTGCTGAGCCCCCTGTCAGACGGACTTTCAACTCACACCTCTGGGAGAGCTTCTCCCAGGAATCAAGGGGAGGAGGGGGACATAAAGTCTGAGTGGACCATGTTCTCCGCCTCTATCACTGATGCGGCAGCTCGTAACTGCAGTCGCAGGGTTTCTGGTGCTGATTCCGGCGGCAACCTCCAAACCCGGTGGTGGACACCGGTATTAAGGGATGCCATCAGGCTGAAGTAGGGGTCCTATCGAGCCATGATGGTTCGTGGGACTTCCTGTCCAGTACTGTCTGTTGCAGAGGCAAAAACCCGGGACTGGGAGGAGGTCGGAGAGTCCATGGAGCATGACAATCGGTCGGCCTCAAAGAGACTCAGGAGGGGGAAGCAGTTCTTTGGCAACACCATGGGTGGCGAGCTGCTGACCTCGACTGGGGATTGGGGCGGATACTCCCATCTCCCTGGCTGAGGGCACCAAGGTGGTTGGCAGCCTCCTTTGTGGTTAGGCTCCGGGAGTGGATGGGATCCGTCCTGACTATCCAAAGTCTCTGGATGTTGTAGGACTGTCTTGGCTGACATGTCTCTGCAACATCGCATGGCGATCGGGGGTGGTGCCATTAGAGTGGCAGATCGGTTCAGGAACCAAAGGATTTCATCTCTGCTGTTTGCGGACGATGTTGTCCTGTTGGCTCCAACAAACCAGGACCTGCAACATATACTGGGATGGTTTGCAGCCGAGTGTGAAACGGCTGGGATGAGAATCAGCACTTCAAAATTGGAGGCCATGGTGCTCGACTGGAAAAAGGTGCCTTGCCCTCTCCAGGTGGGTGGAGAGGTCCTTCCTCAAGTTGAGGAGTTCAAGTATCTCAGGGTCTCGTTCACGAGTGAGGGAAGGATGGAGCATGGGATTGACAGGCGGATCGGTGCAGCGTGCGCAGCAATGTGGTCGCTGTACCGGACCGTTGTGGTAAAGAGGGAGCTGAGCCAAAAGGCAAATCTCTCGCTTTACCGGTCAATCTCCCTCACTTATAGTCTTGAACTTTGGGTAATGACCGAAAGAACGAGATTGCGAATAGAAGCAGTCGAAATGAGCTTCCTACGCAGAGTGGCTGGGCGCTCCCTTAGAGATTGGGTGAGGAGCTCAGTCACACGGGAGAAGTTCGGAGTAGAGCCGCTGCTTCTCCACGTCGAAAGAAATCTGTAATAATGATTACACTCATCTTTTTAATGCACCTGCACATTGTTCTTAATTCAATCTTAATTTAATCATCAAATTTTAATTATTTAAAGCTGGGGTACCTAATTTTCAAACCAAAACAGTTTGGTTCTATCACAATTTTTTAGTTCCCACAATTTTACTTTCACAAGACCCTTGCTAACTACATGTATTATTGCAAGTTAGGTACTTCACTTCCTTCTCTGTGTGGAGTGAGAGACAAGAGCCCAAAAATAACAATTGTAAAGCCCTTTGTGGCTGTGAAATAAAGATTATTTACTTACTTACTAACTTAGGTACCTTATCTTTAAATGTAACTAAACTATTGTGAACATATCTGGGCTTTAAATTCTAACTCTATGGACAAAGAGCAAGGACACATGTTTAAATTGGGTTATTATACATTTTAATACAAAAGATTGATTTAACATCACTTGGTGTATGTTCAATATGTGTCTTTATACATCAAAAGGACTTTTCGGGGCTCACATCAAATATACAGGGAATAAAAAGATAAAATTTACTATGTACAGTGTCATATCGGTCCTTCGGTCTCCAGCTCCAACTCTATCCTCGACAGTGAACCTTGTATATCTCCTCCCGCTATGACACATTTGTGCAGAGATACACAGAGGCCACTCATGGAGCTCTCACAACAGTGGCGGTCTGCTCTTCTCCGTCACTTCGCGCACTAGGAGGCAGGGGGCGCTGGACATGCAAACGCGTTCACACAACTATCAGTGTAGATTCAACTTGAGAATCAACTTGTTTTAAAAGACAAAAATTAAATTGACTTATCGTGTTATCTGTTTTGTCATTAAAAATATTGTGGACCAACCCTTGTGACCGGATGCTCCTTTTTCAAACTTCTTACTAAGACAACACAAACAGAGCTGTTTTCTGGGATTTAAACCAGTAGCTTTGGGGAATTTCTCTTGTCAAAAGAGGGTCTACGCAACCGTGGGCCTTCAATTAGACCATGTCATGTTGAATTTAGATCTAAAGTATTGTATTTTGTAAATGTTCTCTTTCTTGTTATATCTTACCCCCAATTTACACAAAGCAACGTAATGTCGGCAAAACAGGAGCTGAAACTCTTGGATGGGTTCGGGCCGGGCTTGTATTGTTTGATTTTGCTTGGGTCCAGGTCGGCGATGCTCGTCAATTGAGCGTTGGATTCTCTCATGTCACCATTTAGTTTTTGAAGATGTGCTGAAGACGCTTGGTGTAAACTGGGGGTTTTGTCATGTTCATCCATATATTTTACTCAAGAACACATCTGATATTCTAACACATAGAATGTTAATGTATTGTCAAAAGTATTAAAGAGCCAAAAGGAACAATAAATAAGAGACGTTTGTAATACGGCTGTGATTCTTGGGAATTGGGATTCATGGATGAGAGTACAGTCAATTTTGCTGTATGAGTTTACATAAAATATAGTTGAATATTTTAATTGATATATTTTTGTTACAAAGACAAATAAAAATAATTGAATCAGTCAAATGAGGTTAATCAAAACACTTCAACAAAGAACAAAAAGGTGACTGAAAAGTTGGAATATAATGGACCACAATACTGTTAACATTTTCTTTGTCAGAAATGTCTCATTCAACTAAATTATATGAACTAAAATTGACAATTTGATGCCTTTCTATTTTTAAAAGGATATGTTAGAGCTAAAACAAGAATGTGTTAAAATCTGATCAAATATCATTTATACGGTGGCTGTTAATTCCAGTGTGTGAGACACGTCCTGCTTTTCCTGACTCCCAAGAATCATCATCACCATCGAGAACAAATATATTGTTGGTAGTAGATTCCAAAAGTAGCTATACATCCTCTTTCATGTCATGGTAGTGAACTTGCTGCATTGTGGTTTGCTTATAGTACGCTCAAACACATGTGACATGGTTCAACACCAACATGAGACAACCAGAGAGGCTTCACACGACCATGTGACGGGCGCAAAGTTCTTTACACTGATATCTCCATGATGGTGCAGCGTGCAAATGCTCTCTGATAGAAGCTCGTCCTCTGCTGAGGTGGTGTGGAGGGCATGACCCAGCGAGGAGGCACAGGGGGGGGGCTGTCCCAGGACAGAGGGGTGTGTGAGCGGGTGTGGGAGGGGCTGGTCTCTTGGCGTCTGTGCGGCTGAGCGTAAACTGGGTGGCTCTTCTGCAGGTGGGGCAGAGTGTAAATGTGGGAGGTGGTGTTCTGATTGCAGTGTTTGTGGTTATAATGGGAGTGTGAAGACTGCTGGTGGGGGATGAGGGGGAGGGGATGGGGGTGATGAAGGTGCATGCGGTGTGCGGGCTGTGGAGCCGGAGCTGGAGCATGATGTCAGCAGAAGTACTCGTTGGGCTGTCCCTCGATCTTGGCTGTGGCCTCAGAATCCAGACTGGAGCGTGCTGACAGCAGCCGGTTAGACTCCTCTGGGTTGAGTCTGTTTAAATACTCCCCCTCCAGGCCTTTAGCCTTTGTGCCGGGGGACAGAGTCTCAAAAGTCACATATGAGTCCTGGATGTCCTTGGTCTTTTTGCCCCAGTACTTCTTGATGCGTCTCTTGATGGCTCCGCAGCAGACGATGACGGTGAGAGGGACAGCGATGATACAGGCCACCGTGATGACGATGACGTTGATGAGCCGCTGTGTGCCGGTGGCACTGGCTGCTTCATCTGTAGAAAAGATCACACACTGCTCCTTTCTGGGGATGAGGCCTTTGACGCACACACAGGCGATGTATTTAGTGCGGGGCACCAAGCCGTCGATGGTGACCCGCGTCTGACCTGCTCCTACATTGATCTTCCTCATGTCTCGTTCTCCAAACACGGCGTACAGCACACTGAAGGCGGTGGTGTTCTTGGCCTTAGGGGCTCTCCAGTTCAGAGCGATGGTGTTGTCTGTGTCCCCCACCACTTTGACAGACCGCACCACCCTGTCAGGGTCCTGCTGCAGGGAGGAGGTGTTGGAGGCCAGGTTGCTCAGGTTGGTCCTCTCCAGCTCCAGCAGAGTGTCTGGGTTTGTTGTGGTGACAGAGGCTGGAATGGCTCTGTCTGCGACACTGTAACTGGATACAGACAGCACTGGGCCCAGCCCCAGGGGGATCCCTGACTGCAGGGCCTGGTATGTGGGGGCTGTGGACGTGGGAACTACATAACGTGCCACAAGTTTCTCCTGGTACGCAGCTTTGCCCACTGGACCAGACTTCTTAACCTTTGCCTTTTTATCACTGTTTGATTGGCCTCCGTCGGCTTTGGTAGAGTTGGTAACAAAGAGCGAGACAACAGCCTCTGCGTTCCCTGCGTAGTTTGAGGCTTTGCAGATGTACTTTCCTGAGTCTTGGTAAGACACTGCAGGCACACTGAGGATAGACCAGGTGATGCCCTCCTTGGAGGTCTCTTGCTGAACTGTGGAAAGAATACAATAGGTTGATGTATAACACAATTTGATTGTCAATATATCATTGTCAATAACAGGCCTATAGTGTTGAGAAAAACAGGTCCTAATAACAGTACACTATCATTACAATATGTATGTATTTGTCAACATACATTGAAAAGGTGACAGTATACTGTATATATATATATTTATTTATTTTATGTTATTTTGAGTGTAAATTAGTGGACAGACGATTTTTTGTAGAAACTGATATAGATATAATAACTAATATTAGATTGAAAAGGCATAGAACTTCATAAATGTAATGAAATGTTGGAAAACTGCACTGCTGACCTGACCTCACATGTCTGTGCAGTAATGTGCAACAATGTCAAAAATGTGCAATGTGGACCACATCTGTCTACTACTAATACTTATGTTAAATATACTAATTTAAAGATGCAGATTTTATTTTACTTTTCAAGTATGGAGTTGTGCTATACGTAATTTAGTGCAGGTTACTGTTCTGCAACCTGTTGTGCAGTACTGAAATTTCCCCACTGTGGGACGAATAAAGGATCCATTTACTTAAACTGTACTTTCCTTATAATTTTGTACTTTAATTGATGTGTTATGAGATGAGAATTTGATATTTGCTCATCAGTGGCTAAATTACTACTATAATCAGGGATGCACATAACTTTTTCAGTGAGGTACTCAGATGAGTACCAGGACATGGTGCTCACTCAATTTGTCGCGCGGTTCTTATTAGAGATTTTATACTTGATTCTTTTAAATGCTAAAGTTTAGATCAGCTCAGATAATCCACTCAATCCAAGTCAATTAACCCATTAAGGCCTGACACACCTGATAAAACAGACCTGTAAAACCTATGGTCGATTTTATAACTTGAGGTTTTCCTGAAATTCAACGTCTACAGAATGATTGATATCTCGGCCTCTGTAGCAGATAGAAACATCATTCCAAAAGAATTTGAGAGCTGACACTTGTCAATAAAATATGCGTACCTGTGTACCACTTATGTGCACCCCTGACTATAATAACACAGAAAGACTGTAATCAACAAAACCAGCAGGAGGTGACATCAGAAGCATCAGTGTGTGTTGGATCTGCACTTTGTTAAACAGGACTGTTTTGCCTGTCTCGTACTCTACAGCCCACAATACTTTTTCATTTTTGGCCTGTCCTGGTATGAGCTTTCAACTAACCTGTAGTTTTAGTTTAATGCTGGTTCAGAAATAGTTTAACCTTTTTCTACTTTCCCCTTTTTAATTTGATCACAAAGAAGACACCTCTGCAGAATGATAGAACATTGTGAGAAGCTTGGGTTCAAGCGCCCTGGTCTCTGTCTTCAGCGAACATGACTTAACTATTGACAGTAACTGTGAAATTGGCAGCTCCTACAAAGGACGTGGATTATACCAATGAGTGTATTTTTATGAAACTATCATGGAATACTACACTTTGGGATTTGATCCGATTGTCTTTGGTGATTACTCAATGTTGCGTCAATACTGATCAATGTTGCATAACTGTGACAACAGCAGCAGCAGCTGTCCGTCAGACTTAGGGCTTCACAATCCCCTCACGGCTTTCTGTTTAATTAACAGCTCTATAAAGCATCTTATGTGGGGCGCGTGCACATGGCAGCAGCTGGAGTGAAGTCAGAGCTCACCTGTGCCATTGAGAGGGCGTCCATCAGCCCTGCGCCAGCTCAGGTCTGGGATAGGCACTCCGAGGGTCCCACAGCGCAGCAGCACACTGTTACCCACCGCGCTGCGCACTCTGGCCACCGCGGTGTGGATGCGTGGGAGCTCACATTGCCGCAGCTCTGCGTCACTGAACAGGACTCCGGACACACTCTCAGGAGCAGAGCACCTCAGGCGAGTGTCGATGAACGCCACGGACAGACTTGGGCTCTTCTGGAACTGCACCAGCTCGTACAGCCGGCAGTCACACACCCACGGGTTGTCATGGAGACCTGTGGACAAGGGCACAGGTCAGAGGAACTGTATGAGCGTCCAGCTGCGGACAATGTGAAAGAGCAGTCTGCAGATGGCAATGTGGATGCTAGCATGCTAATCCCGTAAGAGGATTAACATTTAATTCATAAACTCCATACCCCTGTTCATGAGCACACCAGGGACCAGACGAGCTTAGGGTGGGATGGGAGGTGCACCAGGGACCAGCCGAGCTCAGGGTGGGATGAAAGGTGCACCAGGGACCAGCCGAGCCCAGGGTGGGATGGAAGGTGCACCAAGGACCAGCCGAGTCCAGGGTGGGATGGAAGGTGCACCAGGGACCAGCCAAGCTCAGGGTGGGATGGGAGGTGCACCAAGGACCAGCCGAGCCCAGGGTGGGATGGAAGGTGCACCAAGGACCAGCCGAGTCCAGGGTGGGATGGAAGGTGCACCAGGGACCAGCCAAGCTCAGGGTGGGATGGGAGGTGCACCAGGGACCAGCCGAGCCCAGGGTGGGATGGAAGGTGCACCAGGGACCAGCCGAGCTCAGGGTGGAATGGGAGGTGCACCAGGGACCAGCTGAGCTGAGGGTGGGATGGGAATGGAGTGATGATGGGTATGAAGATATGAAGACATTAAGGTATGAAGACGTGTGGGATGAACAGGGTGCTGCTTCTCCAGGAGAAATGTGGGAATGGAAAGAATGCATAGTACGAATGAATGAAATAATACTTCAGATATTCAAGACGTACTGTTAGAGTTTTCTAACCTTCCAACATCAGCATTAGAATATAGCCTATTTACTATCTTCCAGATAGTAGCACTTTAGCACACTCTGCATAATGGAATTTTATATTCATATGATCCCATCAGTGTTTTAAGCACAGTATTTAATATCCGAGTCAGATGATTATATAATTATAATGATTATATAGTAAGAAAGAAAACCCAACGACATCTATCCAGAATGGAGCAATGTGTAAGTTCATCTGCCCTCATGTAAGCGTGGCGTGGTTCATCATCATCATCATCATCATCGGCTGTAAGTTCCAGAGCCACTTATGCACTGATGATCCTTACAACAGCCCTGTCCAGCTGGTGAACTGCTCTTACCCAGAATCATCTTGGAGCTCTCTGGACCCTGCACTGGCCGCACTGCCAGCCAGGTGCTCATCACTTCTGGGGGCAGGGTGAGCAGGCTGTTGCTGGACAGGTCCAGGTAGGTCAGGTTGCGGATGAAGGAGGTGGCCTCGGCAGGCACGGAGCTGAGCTGGTTGTTGTGCAGGTCCAAGAGTCGAAGACTAGGCATGTCCAGGAGACTGTCCCAGGGGAACACTGTCAGACTGTTCCCGTCCAGGCGTAGCTCCTCCAGGCTCAGCAGACCTCTGAAACTCTCCACACTCACAGACGACAGCGTGTTGAAGGACATCCAGAGGAACTCCAGACTAGACAAAGAGCTGAAGGCCTCGCTGGGGATCCTCTGGATGGCTGTCTTCTCAATGCGCAGTTTGGACGTGTCCACGGGGAAGCCCACCGGCACCAGGGAGATGTCAGGGTCATTGCAGATGACACTCCTAGAACACACAGAGCAGTCCCCACACATTTGTCAACAACACGCAAATATACGCCATTCTGTTATTTTTGTCTATTGTTATAATTGCATGAATTCTAATTTGGGAAAATTACTAAATTTTAAACAGATTTGCCATTTGTATATTATTTGAGCCAACATCAGAACATTTGATTATTTATTTATTTCCTCATAATAACTGAGATTTTAGGATCAACATAGTCATTCAGTAAAAAGTATTTTATTTCAAAATGTAATAACTTGAAGCTGCGAGCAGCTAAAAGCCAGTCCTGTGAATTGTAAAGGCTGAAAGTGCCTTTGACAGATAATCCTGCATTAAATAAAATTGGACAGGACATGCACTCCCCGAATTATCTTTAGCGCACGTGTTCACCTCTGGACACACATCTGTCACAGCAGCTCGCTCCGAATAGATGCGTGCTAAGGAGCGCGTAAAAGTAACTCAAAGGGACATTTGGTCACTTTTAGGAGTGTGGAGATTTGTACCTGGCCTTGGATCCATCGCTGAGGTTGTGGTAGAAGCAGCTGCACTGTGATGGGCAGCAGCTGACCGCAGACAGCAGAGAGGTGGCCGCGAGGAGCAGCACGGGCAGCATCTTGGCGCACTTTTACGCACACGCTCAGTGTTGGTTCCTGGCTCCAGTTTGGCCCCGCGCGCGTCCAAAAGCCCGGTGCAGTGAGTCATTTACGGGAGTCTGCTCTTCATGGCTGTGCCCTGTCCCATAGTGATGCCCCCGCTGCAGGGTCCCGAGATAAAAAGGATAGAGGCGGATTAGAGACAGAGCTGGCGTCTTTTTCATTTGGATGCGCATTGGCTCCCGCTGAATCCGATAGCTACGCACGAACGTCTCTGTGGACAGCGCACAAAACACTGACTGTAATCCACTGATGTTTGGATTTGTCTGTCCCTCAGATGGAGTTTGTTCATTTCATTTCAGGCCTGACGTGAGCAGTAATCTCTGAGTGGCCACAAGGGGGGCCCCTGGCTGCGAGTGGCCCTATGTGTGAGCTCATGGAGAATGTACACAGGGCAGAGGTGGCGAAAGTACTATAGTTTTAGGTACTAGATTAAAACTATAGATACTTGGTGATGGTGAGACAATTAGCTCTGGTAAACGTGATACATATTGAAATAGTTTCGTTAAAAACTGTGGGACTAGCTTTCAGTCTGCAATACATTAAACGAACTAATTAAACATGAATACCGATCCTCGCTCTCGAAATAGTTCGGTTCCATTACTCGTTTTCACATGCGTGCATTCTTGGTCTCTGTCACGTTTTTAGATCAGATTTTTGAGACAGAAAAGCATCTAGCATGCTGTGGTCGGTGAAAATAAAGGAATAACTTTGAACCACTTAAAGCCTATGTTTGTTCTCAATTAGTTGTTTGTCCCAACAGAAAGAGACTTTAAAATGTAAAATGTTGTGAACAAGTCAGACCACAACCTGCTGTCTTCATCTTTTATCTTTTGTTATACTCTGTTATACTAGTATCAAAAAGCCTTTTTACTATATGTGAAGTTTTGGGCTGAGAGCTGATTGGCTGAGTGAGGGTGGTTCTCCCTTTTTCACTTTTCCCTCGGAAAAATTTGATCTCTAGATGTGACAGAGGCCAAAAATATACATGAAAACTAGTAGAACTGTGAGATTTCATTGAAGGAACTATGGTTAAAGTTCTAACTTCATTCTTAACATATACAGAAGCCTGTACTTTTCCACTTGATGTTTTGATTTCTGAAGGCCAAGCTACAAGCTCACCGTGGCAGCTGCTGATTGGAGGTCTCTGTTTCTATATTACCACTTGCTGTCTGTAACATCCCTTGTTCGTGCTCTTGTTCGTGCTAGCTCTACCATCAACAATAAAACATGTCTTCTGTCTGAATTAAAGACATGATCCCAGACTTTGTCTGATTCCCAACAGAACCAAAAATGTTTTACTCAAAAAACTGTTATATCATTGTAAAATACTGATCTTATTCGGCACGGCGACTGACTGAATAGCACGCTCGCTTTTCAGCAAGAAAGTCTTCGGTTCGAATCCCAGTCGTAACAGGGTCATTCTGAAGGGAGTTTGCATGTTCTCCCCGTGCCTGTGTAAGGTTTCCTATGGGTGCTCCGGTTTCCCCCACCACTAAAAACATACACACTTGGTAAATCCTCCAGCTCTGATAGTCCTGAGCATCTATATCTGGGGATAGATTCCTAGCGGTATCAGGGTGGGTCAAATGCAGAGGATGAATTCAATTTGGAGAGACGAGAAAACAGGAAGTTTTGAGTATTTTATTGAAGGAGGTTTGGCGCCCTAGGTCCCGGTGCGGCCTTCAGATCGGAAAGGCTCCTGCAATGGAGCGCGCACAATCCCCCGGGACCTAGGCACTGGTGGCGGCATTTGGCAGCGGGAACAGAATGAAGGCAGATTGGAGGCAGGGTGAAGAGGAGGAGGAGGGGAGGCGGTGGTTGCAAGGCTTCGGAGGCCGAGAGTGGGAGTTCCTCCGTTTTTATGCGGCTGGCGTAGTCGGTATGATGATTGGAAGGGGGCGTCTGCTGAGCGATAGGCTGGGGATGCGAGCCGGCCTGGAGGGGGTAATTTTGGTTAACGTCTACCAAATTGAATTTTCGCTGGCTGCATTTCAATTTGGAGAGACGAGAAAACAGGAAGTTTTGAGTATTTTATTGAAAGGAGGTTTGGCGCCCTAGGTCCCGGTGCGGCCTTCAGATCGGAAAGGCTCCTGCGATGGAGCGCGCACAATCCCCAAAAAGGCTGCGTGTTGATGGAGTTTTCGAAGCCTGGTTTGGAGGGGACAGACGTCGTGACTGCTCTATTCTGTGACCGCTATCGCTATGCTGTGACCGCTATCGCTATATGCTGTGACCGCTATCGCTTATGCTGTGACCGCTATCGCTATTCGCTGTGACCGCTATCGCTATATGCTGTGACCGCTATCGCTATATGCTGTGACCGCTATCGCTATGCTGTGACCGCCAGCGCAATGCTGTGACCGCCAGCGCAATGCTGCTAACCATTTTTTGCTATATGCTGTGACCGCTAACCATTTTTTGCTATGCTGTGACCGCTAACCATTTTTTGCTATGCTGTGACCCCTATCGCTATATGCTGTGACCGCTATCGCTATATGCTGTGACCGCTATCGCTATATGCTGTGACCGCTATCGCTATATGCTGTGACCGCTATCGCTATATGCTGTGACCGCTATCTACTGTGATCAATACTTGCGGATACTCGGCTGCTGCCGCCACCAGGAAGTTTTGTGAGTGATTTATGGAAATGCCAAGAGGCGCTGGGCTGACAGAATGGTCGAAGTGTCAGGCCTGATGTATGACGAGAGGGCCGATGATGACCAGCGGCCCAGCTGCTGGAGGGCAGAATGGGGGAGTCCTAGGGACGCGGCGCGCGTGGCGGCGCCTATCCGGAAGGAGTGAGCTGTGTAGAGATGGGGAGACAGGTTACAAAGCAGCAGTACGGACTTTAGTTGGGCTCTGAACCAGTTAGATGTCATTGGGAGGTGATCGGGTGTGAGAATTAACGGTCCGTTGAGATCTTCTTTCCGAGAGCGGAGGCGAGTGTAATGCATCATGGATCTGTAGGGACAGGGAGAAGTGTCAGACCAAGCTATGACTATATTGCAAGCGCCTTTGCGTTTGGAATGCTTGAGGTGGAGGTTGAAGTAGTCGGGGTAATAAGACAGGTCGGAGAAGGCAATGTCTTGGGCTGCATTAAAGGTGGCGTGGGGGTTAGTGAATTCGCTTATGCGAAGGAAGCCGTAAAAAGCGAGGAGGAAGACGCTGAACAGGAGGGCGATGGCGTACTTTGAGAGCGAGCTGGAGCTGAGTGCGGCGCAGAGCTGGTGGAGGATGGACAGTGTGATGGGGCGCCTGTGGTCCGAGGAATGCGGGGAGCAATTGTGAATGCCTTTGATGACTAGTTTGATTGACGGATCGGAAAAAAGAGAGGGGAAAGCGGGGTTGTGACAGCGGGCCTGGAATTGTATCCCGGCGAGTAGGGCGCGAATGTATGTGATTTTATAATGGAGGTTATCCGCGCAGTGAACTATGAAGGCGCAGACGGTGACAGCAGAGGGCGGAATGAGTGGAATGCAGTGGGCGTGACAGAAGCTGGAGTTGACTTTCCAAGCGAAGCTGTAGGATTTCAGTGTGGAAGGTGAGAGGCCCATCTTCATGTAGGATGCGGCGGAGGAGAGGAGGAGGTGAAGAGACGGAGGGACTAGTCCAGGGCGATGGATTCCGTGCAGGGGATCTGGCATGGCGATGGGTTGGCAGAAGGGCAGAGGCGTCGCAACTCCTGGAATTTGAAACGAGAGATAGAATCAGCGAGACAATTAAGGTGACCAGGGACGTGACGAGCAGTGATAATAAAATTGTTCAGGACTGAGAGCCATGTGATGCGTCTAAGAAAAGTCATGATTTGGGGAGAGGATGAACGACCTCTGTTGATTATTTCGACAACGTCGAGGTTGTCGCACATCACGGAAATCCTTTTCCTCTGCCACGTATGGCTCCACAGCGCGCAGGCTACGTTCACGGGATATATCTCGTGGAGTGCGGAGGAGATGTTTTGAGGGAAGGCGTCGGGCCAGGGCCCGGCGAACCACTGGTCCTGAAAGAATCCCCCAAAACCCACGGACGGGGCAGCGTCTGTGAAGAACCGCAGGGCGTCCGAGGATAGGACGACGTCGCTGTAGAAAAAGGAGACTCCATTCCAGCGGCTCAGCAGGCGGGACCAGAACGCCAGGTCGGAGCGGCACCCCGCGTCCAGGCAGACCGCGTCGTTGAGGGAGGATACGGAGCCGGCGAGGGAGAGGAGTCTGGAGATGAAGGAGCGACCTTGAGGAATTATGCGGATGGCGTAATTAAGATGCCCGAGGAGGGAGAGCAACTGACGCTTCGAAAGTGACGGGGATGACAGGGCAGACCGGGAGATAGCGCGGATGCGCTCGAGTTTGTCCAGCGGGAGGGAGGCCTCGATGGCGCGCGTGTCGAGGCGGATGCCGAGAAACTCTAGAGCGGTGGCGGGGCCTGTGGTCTTCTCCTCGGAGAGGGGGACTCCCAGGGCGGAGAAAGCGAGCTTGAGTTTGCGGAGAGAGCTCCCGGAGCCGTCCGAGAGTGGGTCTACCACGAGAAAGTCATCGAGGAGATGCTGGACGGAGGGGAGCTGTACAAATTTAGCAGGATCCAGCACAGCGCCTCCGCAAGAGAAGGGCGCTGGAGGGAAGGGGCTGTTGATGCTCGGGCGGGCCCGGAGCGGGGACAGGAGAGGACGAGCATGAGACGCTTCTTCCTGAAGTGCTTGCGGGTGGCGATGCCCATCGGGTTAGAGCGAGACGGAGAGAAGGGGCCAATGACGTAGCACACGGACACCTCCCGCGCCCGAGCCGCGTGCCGACTTGGGGCTCACGGAGAGCCGGGAAGAGGTTGCGGGACACGAGACGCCGAGGGACCTAAACAGAGCTTGCAGTCCAATGTGAGGGATTTAAATAGAGCTTGCAGTCCAGAGTGAGGTATTAAAACCGGGCCCGTAGTCCAAGTGAAGCGTTTAACTGAGAGCCTGCAGTCCGG